TATTGCTTCCAAAAGTGATTAAGAATGCCTTCTATCTAAGAGGAGCTATCATACATTGAAGAACTGCTCATTTTTTTTGACATGTGCAAAGGTACACAGATGTCTGATCTTCTTTTGCCCTCATGGTAGCTGGGTGTACTTTCTCATCAATCGGGAATGCATTTCTACCTCCCATGGATACATGGACCTCTGAGAATTTCTAGGAGAAAGGCATTTGCCATCAAGTAATTTACGTTATGCTTATGTTTGAGATACATTAACCATTGAGAGATGCCAAGGAAGCACAGTTAGCGGCTGCTGAAGCTACTTATTTTTGATTTCTATACAGGCAGATGTGTTTTTAAAAACACCGTATGCACTTAGACCTCCTGGAGGATACAGCCTGCCAAAAGGGCAATATATTTTCCTTTGGGTCTTGAAAAGTGGATGCCTGAAGGTAAGGTTTGCTGACAAATGGAGGCCATCTATCTATTTCACAACTGCATAAACAGTACATACGAGATGTCCAGTAAGTCTCCTAGATGGCTAATAGTGAAAATTTCCTCCATGAAGTGTAGTTTTATATTTGTTAGTGAAGATTTTGATCACTAAAAAGAACTTCAGATCTTAACACAGACCTTTGCTATGCCAGAATAATTTGTTAGAGAGGTGCATAGGCTTAACGTGGAGGTGGCATTTGGAAAAAAAAAACCCAACCAAAACCCGACAAAAAAAACCCCTGTGACCTCCTTTTCAGGTAAGTAAAACAATAAAAAAAGTTTTTAATGTGTTTGTTATTAAAATAACTTTTTTTCAAGGACCTGGAAAAATGAGGTATGGATGGCAGGGAACAGTGAAGGTGTTAGCAAGTAACTGAAACATTTGATCCCATTCTAGTAAAACGTTGTACTTTGTCACTTAAGACTGGACAGAAATAATCTGCGTAATGCTGAAGAAAACAGCATCAAACCCCTAAATGCCAAACTATTGCCCAAATTAGAGGTCTGCAAACTCAGTGATTCTACTAGTGAAAAATGCAGCACTACTGAAGAGTGTTCTGGGAAACATGAAAACTTCAGGGAATCTCTTAACATCTAGCCAGAAAAAAAGCCACTATCTTCAGGTCATAGAATCATAGAGTGGTTTGGGTTGGAGGGGCCTTTAAAGATCATCTAGTTCCAACCTGTCCCCCCATAGGCAGGGACATCTTTCACCAGATCAGGTTGCTTAAAGCTCCGCACATGACCTTGAACACTTCCAGGGTTGGGGCATCCACAACTTCCCTGGGCAACTTGTTCCAGAGACTCACCATGCTCATAGTTAAAGAACAAAAAATTCTTCCTTACGTACAATCTAAACCCATGCTCTTTTAGTTTAAAACCATACACCTTTCCCAACTTATTACTGCAGTTGCATCTTAGCGTTGGTGGGATATGACAAAATTACATGGGGTACATCCCTGTGTGGGGCTCAAAGTCCATGAATAGCACTTACTCACAATTATGCATATGCCTTATTTTATCCTGTTAGTAACTGGGAGCAAATATGATAGTTGGCAACGTGGCTAACACTTCACGAAACTCCCCAGCACTTTGTTTTACAAGAAGTGGTAAAATAATTGGCCTGATTTACCTCATGTGTTGGTAAGGTAGAAAATGTGTTAAGTATTTGAAATTCCACCATGTGAAATGAGATCATAAAACTATGCCTGAGCAGAATTTATTCTATTCTGCAATGTTTTGACCTGCTTTTTGCTAAAGCAAAGTGTTGCACCTACCATGTTTAGCTCCAGAAATCAGTAGAATATGCCAAAAGCAGCTTGATGTGCCTCATAAAGCAGAAACCTGAAGTGATACAATTAGCCAAAATACTTCACTATATATTTTATGTGTAGATATATGCTTTTATTTAGAACAAATACATCTTTTAAATGTAAATTATAATAGTGATTGGTTGTCATTTTTTCCCCTTGATGAACTTGTATCACACGTGTAGGATTTCTCAAAAGCAAGGTTGAGCCACTGTGTCCCAGCTATAGCCTACACTAGCTATTCAGCCAAAGCAGTGCTTAACTTCCTAAGGGCAGCATTTTTTTCACTTCTTTTGCTTTTAATCCAAAGATACTTCACAGATCTCTTAGCTCAGATACCTTTTTCTTATCTGGAAAAAGGAATTTCTATTTTGAGAGGAGACTGCTGAGCCTGTTCTTGATTTTCACAGTAACCCAAGGTGTTTTAGGATTCCTGTGGCTGGGTCTGATAAATCACCGCTTTGAATTGTGGTACAATTATACTAATCTCCCTTAAAGAATACAACACCTGTTAGCGAATATTTTCTATTCTTCCCTTCAGCTTGTCCTGCACAGAGTTTTGTCTACTTTGTTCCAAGTTATTTTCGTTTGAATCCAAATCTGGTACGCCAAACCCATCTATGATTACAATACGTGTCTTCCAGCATTCAAGTCTCTGTTAAAGAAACTTGGAGTGGTGCTGAAAAAAGCCCAAGCATCTGTTGGAGAGGTCACTCAGCAGATATGAGAGTTGGGTACTTGTGCCCATCTTTAGTATACATCTAGAGCAGATGATACCTATACAGCAAAGGAGACCATTCAATTATTTTTTTTAATTTAAACCAAATTTCATATTTGAACTTCATTTGGGCTAAATGATGCTTCTCTGGGAGAAGAAATTAAGATGTTTATTATGAATAATCTGAATGCTGGTTAACACTACTGACATGTTCTTAGTCAAACCAGAGCTATGAATTCTCAGCCTCTTGCTGCCCACCCATCACTACAGCGTTCTAGTACGTGTATGGCGTTGTTCAAAGAGCAAGAAAAAACATCAGTACATTAATTTATTCATTCGTCAAGATGAAAGGCAGTACGGCTGATTAAGATTCTAAGAATAAATACGATCCTGTTTGATTATTTTTTTCCAAGTCCCCTGGCTCAGCTGTAAGTACATCTTACGAATTGGCTTACCCTGGGAGACACATTGGTCTGCTCCTGTTGCAGTTAATGGCAAGGCTCCCTTTTACTTTAGCACTGTGCAGATGTACTGCTAAAGCAGTTTTCAACTGAAGGCACTTTTTCACATTTCAAGCGAGATTTTTTTTTTTTAACTGCAGTTTGGTAGGCAAGTGGGTAACTTTTCAGTTGGAACATCTTGTTACAGGGAAGGAAAATGGAGAGTTCAGTCCAACGTTTTTTTCAGTGGTTCTGTGTAAAATTATTTCACACAAATGTTTCTCTGAGTTTTGCTATTTCAGATATCTCTTGTATTTGGTGGCCCTCATATTAGGCAGCTGTTACATAATTAGCAGAGTCTTTCTTCTTGCTATAAGTGTACAGGTATACATGTATTCTTCTGTAATGAGGCCTGCTGGGAGATGCATTAATGACAGACTGAGTGACTGTGACGACTGTTGTACAGATGGATGCTGTACAGTCAAAGTGGACAGCGGCATCCAGGGTTGGAAAAGGGGTAGTTTTTTCTGTCTTTTGGAAAGTATTTTGTTCACAGTAATTGCAACAGGATTTTTGAACAAGTTGTAAGATCACTGGCGCAGAGACTATGTCTTAATTTTTCCTCTGTCTTATCCCTATGCTATGTAAAAACTAACTGAGGAAGCCTGAATTCTGAGGATTCGTTAGTGTGTGAGACCGCTGCTCTGGATTTGAACTGAAATATTACTGCTGAAACAGGACCTTTGTGTTCTGAAATGCAGGTTTGAATTCTGTGGGTCATATCAGTCTCCATATATTAAAAGGAGATTTGTGACTGTATTTTGTGTGCTTTGCTTTGTGATATTGCTGGTAAATCCCATTTGATTTTCTGGTTAAACAAGGTCTGTGGTTGCTCTTGGTTATACAAGCAGCGCTCTGCAGCTGGAGCATGCCAGGGAATGGTCTACAGTTTGCATCTGACCTTTCTCTATCAGCCTTAGTACTAAGCTGCTGTCAAAACGCCCTGATGCTGTCATTGTAGCACTTTAGAGAAGAACAGGGATAAATAAAGGGCCATGAGAAATGCGGTACCTTCAAATGAGGGTTTGGTCAGGTTCACTGAAATGGCCTCAAAATTCCCCCTTGGGTTAAAACACAGGGAAACTGAGTTCCTTTCTTTCCCTTCCTCCTACTGATGTATGCAAGTTTTTGTTGAGTTAAACAGACTTCTGTGTTTGGAGGTCTCTTTAATTCTGTTTGAGCACAGAGGATTATGATTCTGTTTGTTTTGTGCTTGAATTAAGTAGAAAATGAAAATTAATGTGCAGCCTGACAATAATGCAGGAAAGCTCGCCCGGAATCTAGCATTGGAGCATTGATCGTTGTTCCTGCAAAGCTTCACCACTGTTGCTGCAGTATGCACTACCCCCTTTGCAGTCTTTGTTTTTCAGCACTTTGCCCATATCCAAACAGATAAACCAGATCTTTTCCAACACTGCAAACCAGATCTCCAAACATTCAAGCAGCCACAAATGGGAATAATAATGTTATCAAATGAAAGTGAATACAGGGATGATAATGATGTTTGTCTAATGTCCAGAATTTTATTTTGTACGGTTAACAACCGGATGTTAAAACCCCAGTGGTTGTATTACTGTGTGATATTGCCATTCCTTGCGTCATTTGTAAAGTAGGATCTTATCCTCCTAAAGGCATAGGCACTCATTTCTCACCCTGTGGCAGATTGTAAGATACTACACCCTAAAAATAAATCCTTGTGATTAACATCTTGCATTGCCTGTGCCTTAGATTTAGTAGCCAGTATCTTGCCTTATTACGTAGCTAGAAGGCACAATTTATTTGGAAGCTCAATAGCCTTAGAGGCTTTCTGGAATTGGAATAGAATATTTCAGTTGGAAGGGACCTACAGCGATCACCTAGTCCAACTGCCTGACCCCTTTAGGGATGACCAGAAGTTAAAGCAAATTAAGGACCCTGTCCAACTGCCTCTTAAACACTGACAGGCATGGGGCATCAACCACCTCTCTAGGAAGCCTGTTCCAGTGTTTGACCACCCTCTCGGTAAAGAAATGCTTCCTCATGTCCAGTCTCAACCTCCCTTGATGCAGCTTTGAGCCATTCCCATGTGTCCTGTCCCTGGATCCTGGGGAGAAGAGCTCAGCACCTCCCTCTCCACGTCCCTTTCTCAGGAGTTATTGCTAGGACCTGAACTGGAAGCTTCCAGTTCTGAAACTTGAGATGTTAAAGTGTAAACCCAAGGATGCAGGACCTCAGCTATTTATTTTAAAGCTACTTATACCATTAAGAGTGAAGACCGGACTGGTGCTATTTTTGAAAAACATGAGGTAAGTGTCCCCACTTCACATGGGAGTTGGAGCCCAGGCACTGCTGGGAACCCCTTGTGAATGTTTTGGCACACTGGTAGCTTTATAAATCTGGTTGTGCATTCCCACAGATGGTAGCTTTGGGAAACTTCTGTTCTCTGTAGATCAGGCACAGAGGGGAAAACAAAATATATACTGAACAGTGGGTTATACTCTATTGCTGCCTGTCAGAGCAAGCAGCGCTCTGATGGATGGGAATTTAAATGCTGTCTATTTTCCCACCACTAACAAGAAAAAAAGGTTTTTCAACCGATGATGATTTTATTTGTTTAAAGGAAAATATTACAGCTGGAATTTTTATAAAGCTTAAAAGAGTTATAGGTCCAAATTCCACTGAATATTTGGGCACAAAATATGCAGGAGGGAGGCATTCTTAGTCTATTTTTTGGATCCATTTCTATGGTGTGTTTGAAGGCCAGATGATGAAAGAGTTCAGGGGTTGAGCTGATTTCTCTGCCCTTGCAAAAGGCTATTATGAGCATGTGTTTGGTTTTAGTTTTGCCTTTGCTTAGATGCCTGCCGTGTGATCTCAACCACTTTGAATGAATGTAGGTTTCCTTGTTCCCTGGGAGGAGCAGTGTGTGGTTTTGTTCATTCATAGTCAAGGTTATTCCTGTGTTGAGACTCGGGGATTTTGTGTGTGGAGGCTGAACAGCCCAACACTTAAAATTTAGCTCATGCAACACTTTGCTATGAGGAGGGGTTATGCTTTAGGATGTGTTTTAAAGGGATTTTGGTTGATTCTCTAAATTCTGTGGAAACTGCCATGTTACTGCTTTTCTGAAAAATTTCTGCTCAGGCTTCTGTTTGTACCTGCTTGCTAAATATAGGCATAAAAACCTGTGCTCTTTGACCTTTGAGTAAGAATTCCAGCTGGGTTTCAGGGGAGCTTACCGCTACAGCCCCAGATCTAAACAGAAACTTCAGCGTGACCACAATGAAGACACGGCTTCGAGTGCTCGAGTGGGCCTGAGAAACACACTCTGCAGGGCCTCCTCCGGGCTCTCTTAGATCCAGTGTCTTCAACTGTTCTTGTTCCCATATCACCCAGAGCAATTCCAGTTTACTGCGTTTTTCTAGGTATGCTGAGGCCTTGTTTCTCCTCTGGCTGTGCTGTGTGGAGATGACCTGGGAAGTGCACAGAGCTGCAAAAAAACCATCTCACCTCAGCTCTGCTGGTGGTGGTGTAACCTGCTGTGCCCCAGGAAGGCTGTTGCCCCTGAACATTGATGTTCCAGCGTGCTCACCTTAAGAGGTGACAAAAGTTTTAGATTAAAATCACCTGTTACTTTGCAAGCCATCTATTTCTGATACAGGAAAGAGGCCTGGAAATAATTTTTGGAACCTGACCCCTGTGGCCAAAGTATCGCCAACAGTCACTTGTGACTGCACGTGGCAGCCCTGCGCTGT